AAAAATCTGGCTATGCACCTTTTGATAAAAGTCTTTAAAAGTGCTTAATTTTTGCTTTGATAAAAGAGTGGGAACCCTGATATTTGTAAAAGATATTTATCTTTGCTGTGCCGATTGTTGTCAAAATTACAAAAAATGTAAGATTTTCACAATTTTCTCTGCTATATTTATCTGAAATTAGTTCTTTAATCATGATTATATTAAGTTTTTGAAAATGTTTTTGAATTCTATGGATTTTATATTTATAAATTAAGAACTTTAAACGATCGAGAAATTTTTTTTTATTACTGCACAGATCCTAATTATGATTTTTTTTTGGAAAGTGATTAAAAATATTTTTTGAGTGCTTGAAAAGTACTTAAAAGGTGCTTATTTTTTGTTGAAAAATCTGGCTATGCACCTTGTTTCATCCGCAAGCTGACGTTTACTGTAGAAAGTTCAACCTAATCTGAAGAAATAAGCACAGGGCTCATTTTTGTGTCATTATTTAAAATTAAAACCTTTGTTTAAAGTGAGGGAAGCATATTTAATAAATTAAGCTTTGACTACATGCTTAAAAACTAAATTCATCCACACATTATTTAAACTGTTATTATTTTTTGTTTTTGTCTTTTTAGTGTAATATTTGTCTATTATAACATTCATAATAATCTATATATTTTTTACTATTTTCTATTACAGGATTGCCACTCTACAAGGAGAATAGGGAAAATACAAAATCACTTAAAATAATAGAGAAAATGCAATCAATTTCAAATTTTTTCCTGACAAACTGGGAATTTTATTTCTTATTTTTGTCTTTTAAAAAATGCAGACCTCTCAAAACACAATCTATGGAATATTTAAAGATGATAATTCTTTAGCTATATTGTATTATTTCTAAAGCTATATTGTATTAGTATTTCATTTATTATAGCATTGGGTATGTTCAGCTGTTCCTTTTTTCCCTTCTAAGTTTTTCGAGCAATTAAAACTAATAAATATAGTTTTCCCACTAAAGCTCACACAAGACCTCTGTAATTGTTGTTTCCTCTTAATATATTGTGTATAATATGTACAGGAAAAACACGGGGAATTTTTTTTCTTCCTGATTTGTGTGGCAATTCTGTATTATTTTGGAAAGTGGAGACTAAATGTTTTTAATTTATGCCCCGAGTTATACAGTGAAACTTCTATTTAACGAACTTCCCTTTTACGAATTTCTCTATTTTGCAAATTCTTTGGAGAAACCAAGAACATTTAGGAAATTTCTTCGTAAAATAACTTCCAAGTAGCGAAGTGAATTTTCTATTTAACGAACTTTTCATTGAGAGCCACTTTCCCTACTTCCGTAAAATTTCAGAACATTTTAAACTTGTTAACGCATTTTATGCCCTTGAATTGATTTTTGAAGCCTCTTCACTTTTAGAGAAAGTTATTAAATCCCTCCCCCCCCCTTTTTTTTGGCATTTCGAACGAAAAACTCAAACAAAATTAACGGATTTTACCAGTAGCCATTAAATTTAAGAACGCATGTGTATGTTTTATATTACTTTCTGTATAAGTGTGTGTTTAATATTACTTTCATAATAAATGCAGCTATAATTTTATGCATAGATTTAGCTTCTTTTAGCTGAAAATGTATGCGGCATGATAGTGTAACACTGGATAATGTTTTGCTCTATTCTTATGCAGAATTCTTTTATGGTTAAAATTTATAAAATAAATAGTAGATACTAGATTACACGGATATACATGTGTATCAATTGTTATTTTAATTATGTCTAGTGTTTATGAATTTATAACCTGTTTTGTGTTGTTTAAGTATTTCAAAAGGTGATTTTCTATTTAGCGAATTTTCTATGTAACGAACTTATCATTGGGATTTAACGTGGAGTAAATGTCGGGCTATATTTTCTTTAGGAAGTAGAGAGTATATTTTAGAAAGTAGAGACTGAATCTTATTTTCATTTAAAGGGTGCGACTGTAAGGAATGAGGGAGAAGCTGTTGTGATAGGACGGATTGTGAAGGGAGGAGCAGCAGAAAAGAGTGGTATGTATTCCCTTATATATGTACAGGGTAATTCGCCTTTAAGAACAACTCCTTTGATGGTTAGGGAAATGAGCAGTTTTCGATTACTTAATTCGCGTATTATTACGAGTAAAGTGGCAGCCGTTCTTCACCACCCTTCTCTGTCGATGCCGTAGATAGGTCGCCTCACACGTTTTAAAAATTTCTTAAAGTATTTGTAGTACATCAATAACAGTTTTTACGTACTTTAAAATAATTAATAAATGATAATTATTAAATAGTAAATTATAAATGATTATTATCAATTATGTAAATAATAGTTAATTATAAATATAAGAAATATTAAATGGAAAGGACTAAATAAATACAGCAAATGTAAAACTTTATGAAGCATTTAAATACAGTAATTACCTAAATATTGTGAACAACGTCTTCTTCAGACTCAAAACTTGATAAGCTTTCTGTATCATCATCATAATTATCTAACTTTCGCTTTTGAGTCATTTTACTTTACAAACACCCTAAAAAACGTGCCAAAATATGCATAAAAAGAACACGGTAAAAAAACAAATTCCTCTTCGTTATGAGAATAAATTCATTGAACACATACTGCCATCTCTAGACAGTAAAACTAACTAAATTTCGCGAGTAGGATTCGTTTGTAACATAATCAATGCAGGATAATTCTGAAATTTTTTGAAGTGCTTTAAGATATTATTTGAGTGCTTGAAAAGTGCTTAAAAGGTGCTTATTTTTTGTTGAAAAATTTGGCTATGCACCCTGTATAAAGTATTTTATTTAAAATATTATTTTTTAAATGTTATTTTATCATCTCTGAATCAGGAGATAAAGCGCTAACCAGGTATGAGGTGACCTGGAATGGTTCTCTATTCTTTACGAAACCTTAGGAGAGTTTCATGTGGCATTTTAGTTTAATTGGGTTATAATGGACTAAATTTTTATGCAAGCTAAGTTCATAATATTTAAATTGTTTGGCAGTAAATTTTCATCTAAAAATGTGTATAACAGATGGTAAAATAATTTTAATTAAGAAAATTAGTAAATAATTTTAATTAGTAAAATTAAGAGAAATCAAAGAAAAAATTCCAGCTTTTCATTAAAAATCCCTGATTTTTTTCCAATATTAAAAAATCCCCTGATAATTCAAGGTTTCCCAGGTGGGTGGCCACCCTGCATGCTTCACAGTTTTTCTATGCAACTTCCACACGGACAACATCTAGTCCTTTTCATTCTGAAGTATTTGTGTTGTCACCGGGGGCAAATGTGTTCTTCTTCAATTGTTTTTGATTGAGCAGCGATGGCTCAGGGAATCTGCCTTCCAATGAAGTGAACTGGGTTTGAATCCCAGCAATGGCTGTTGGTTATGAATTCTGCATCCGGCTTGCACATGAACTATCCTCAGTGGTAGATGGGCTAGAGTCACCTTGCCGTCAAGATAACTGTGGGAGGTTATCATGGTTTTCCTTTCCATGTATTACAAATGCGGTTAGTTCCATCAAAAAGTCTTCCGCGAAGGCAAATTTTGCCCAAAACTTGTACCAGGATTTCCCTTGTCTTCTGAATTGGGTTCAAAATGACATGGCTACGGAGTTGAAGATCAGTAGTCGTAAACCCCAAAACTGGGTCGGCTGTTCAGTGGCGTCGCGCCCGGGGCACAATACCTTTTAAGCGCCCCCCATTTGAAAACCATATAATATTATAAGTAAAATATACTCGCAAATTAATAAAAAAATAAAGTAAAATAAATAAAGTCATAGGCTCAAGCTAGGCATTAAATTTGAGACAAAAAATGTAGTTGAGAAAACAAGACTAGATTTTGAAATGTATATGATCATCTAGAATTAGTTCAAAAGATACCTATTATTTATTTTACATATTTATAAAGAAATATTTTAAAAACACGCAGTTTTAAAACAATAAAAAAGTAAATATTTATTATCTCTAAGGAGATACATATATTTAATAATATGATTATAATACATTAATAAAACTAATTACTATGTATAAATTTTCCGCTTTTGATGAAGCAAATTTATCAATAATATCATCAAAGTTGATCATTTCAAATTTTTCTCTTTCCACACTTAAAAATGCTAGGTTATTTAGGCGATCTTGTCCCATCATTGATCGTAGATATGTCAAAATTAATTTTAATTTGCTGAATGATCGTTCGCAGCTAGCAACTGATACTGAGATAGTCAGGAGTACTTGAAATGCCACTCTCAGGTTTGGAAAAACATCTTCTCCATACGGGATTATAAAAGTAAGAAATTCTAATGGAGTTTTAGGTTCAATTTCTTTTCGACTGCGGAGTGACATTTTGCAGTCACATACTTCGATAAAGAGTTCTATTCCATTGAAATCTGTATAATAAAATTCCCCCAAATTTTTTTTAAAAAAAATTTCAAGGTCGTTATCAACATTATCCTTGTTTAATAAATTTTCAACGTCTAGTAGATAAACAAATTTGAAATTAAGGTCACTTAATCGTGTAAATCGTGTACATCTTTCTTGTTGGGGACGATCAAGAACGCTTTTCCTAACGCGAGACATTTCACTTCGAGCCAGTTCTTCAGGCATTTTGCGNTAATAAATTTTCAAAGTCTAGTAGAAATCCAAATTTGAAATTAAGATCACTTTATCGTGTACATATTTCTTGTTGGGGACGATCAAGAACGCTTTTCCTAACACGAGACATTTCACTTTCTGCGAACGACCTGCATCTCTAGCCAGTTCTTCAGGCATTTTGCGGCGTCTTCTTACACGTATTGTTGCATCAATATCCCATTTTTCACAAAGAGACTACGCTTTTCCTATTGTCTCTTCACAGAGCTTGTCTCGAATTTCGGCTAGTTCAGTCACTAATGATTCAAGATCATGGAATGCTTCTCTAAAATTCATTCTAGGATCTTGTAATCTGAGCTACACACGATCATTCCTCCTTAAGATTTCATACCAGAAGTGAACTAAAGTTATGAAACTAAAATTTAGTATATTTTGCAACAGAATTGTGGCTTCACTTCTGGTGTCACTTGTAATGGTAGTGTCCTCTGCTAATTTTTCTAATAGTTCTACTATAATCGTTAGCCTATCGACGATAACGTTAACCGCTTGTATTCTGGCGCTCCATCGTGTTTCAGATTCATGTTTGATAGTTTTTGTTAAAGCATTTTTTAATAATTCCCATCGTAACATTGAATGTGAGAAAAAGAGATATATGTTTTCAATTATTCCAAAACCTGTCATAACGATTGAATCTTGTTTAGCTGCAGTAACTCCTACTAAATTCAATGAATGGTTATCACAATTTACAAATATTGCTTTATGATTTTTTCCGTTATTCTTTATTGAACGCCAAATGTGTGACTTGCCATCATGGCAGCATTATCGTAACATTGTGATCTGCAGTTTGTTAATGAAATTTCACCGGAATTTAATTTTTCCAAAATTGTATTTTAGATTGAGGCTGCATCTTTAGCATGTATTTCAATAAAACCACAAAAAGATTCTTTGATGGAAACTTCTTTATTGATAAAATCAACATCTACATACCTAACGACTTGCGACATTTGTTCTCGATTAGAGATATCAAGAGTTGAATCAAACAAACGTCCATAATATTTATTTCTTTTGATATCGTTTATTAGTTGATTTCAAACTGTAGATGCCGGAAGATGGATGAATTCATTTTGAATCTGCGATGACAAATATGAAACAGTTTTTAGAGTTTCTATGGCATGTTTAAGATATTTGCTAGTAGCGGATGAAACTGAGCTGCAAGTCTAAGTAAAGATAATAGGTTTCCTACATTTGTACCATCTTAAAGTGCTAGTTTTTCAACATCGCCACGTAGAGGAAGAGTTTGCAAGCTAATATTCTTTGCAATATATTTCCCCACCGTTCTTTTTCGGACTGAATGTTCACTTCTAATGATACATCAATTCTATCTTTTAACTGTCTTTTTTAGTTAAATTTAAAATTAAACTAAGGTAGGTTGCTAAAATTGACTTTTAAGAGATGTCAAAGTTCAATGCTTATTAATGTGATAGTTTGGACAAGAGATAAAAGTTGCTGGTTTTAGGTTGTCCCCCAGATAAGCCGTATTTACAGTAAATTAAGAACTCTTTGTTTAATTGAACAGTGTTAACAAGTTTTTTCATACCCTAAAACTAAACTCGGTGGCGCGACAGCCCATCGAGGACCAAGGCCTACTGTGCCCATCTCAGTTTTATTGACCTTTGGGCTCTGGGGTGCATGAGCAGATGTTCCGGTTAGGTGGTCAGTCGAACGCGAAACCCCCAGTGTTTAGTTCCTAAGCATGCTTGGCACTCATTTATCGACCCACTGAAGGAATGAAAGGCTGAGTCAACCTTGCCCACCACGAGGATCGAACCAGGGACCTGTGGCACGACAGAGCGAAGCGCTACTGCTCAGCCACCGGGCGTCATTTTTCATACCCTATTCACTGAATAATAGAATCGTCGAGTAAATGTAGTAAGTTATCTTACTTGTTTTATTACTTACCAAGAATGCCTTGAACTTGAAAGGTAGAAACACAGTGAAATATACACTATAATTTATGCTAACATTAAACTTATGACACATAACATTTAATGGATGGTGTTTTCAGTAGAAATGTAAACAATCTCGAGCTCGGCACCTACTCTAGTTCCGGTTAAAAAGCTTGCAGCTGCTTACTACATGTTATTCTGATAGGCGATGTTTTCAAACGGATAATTTTGTTTTCAATAAAAGAAATAAATTAGATAATTTCTGAGCTCAAATCTGCCGTATTTCATAAGATATTAATGTTATTATGTAATTCTGGGGAGTTTGGAGTGAAAATTTGTTTTAGTTATTTTGTTATTTATTATTAAAAAAGGTGACATGGTTGCTAGATTTTGAATAACTCGCTTTTTTGGCAGTCTTGATTTGGCCTCTTTCCATTTGTTTATTACTGTTTGTTCGTGTTGCAAGCTGTGCACCATCTTACGTTAGTGTTAACACATTTAGCATTGTAAACGCAAGTAAGAAGTAATCAAATACATTGTTTGCAAGAATCTCAAAACACAATGATGCCAAATGGCTTTAAAATACAACGGAAACAGTAACCCGGAAATTTAGGCAGTACCGAGCTTGCAGCGTTCCCTAGTGTATAAAACACCATCCATAACATTTCATTTTTATTCTAAGTAAAGCGCAATGACAAGGACGCAAAACTGTAAAATACAGGTACAAAATAACTTAAACGTTAATATTTCGGGTATTTACCTCATTTGTAGCTGACTTCCACAACCTGTCGCAAGTGTTTCGTATATGTACAATCACGAAAAAAGTATCCGGAAAGTAACAAATAAAGAATCATTTATTTTTTTAAACAGATAAATCTCAGGTACACAACAAATACGGCATTTGCGTCCTTTCCTAGAAACAGCAAAACGCTGTATTTGTTGTGTGTCTGAGAAGTATCTATATTAAAAAATAGACAATCCTTTAATTGTTATTTTCCGAATACTTTTTTCCGTGACTGTACATATGAGTACATTAGAGTGTAATTGTTATCGTTTTTAAATAACAAGCGTAAGCTACATTGCGTTTATAGAAATAAAAACAAATAGTGTTCTGAAAGAAAGAATGTTTGTTCCTTGTGCACTGCAAGTATTTGGAGATAATATCTGTAACCACACCGCGTAGATACCATAAAGAAGTGCTGACAGGTAGTGATGCAACGGATCTTAATTTGGCCGGATACCGGATATGCGGCCAATCTTTGAGCCGGTTATCCGGTATCTGGCCGCAGTACTTAAATAAGTATTTATAAAACAATTCCTCAGATCGATTATTGCTTTATTCTAATATTTGTCTTTAATATAACTGCCAACCATTAAGATCTTTTCTCAATTTTTTAAATCGAGTGAAACTGTAAAAAAAATTTAATGAAATTGGTTATTTATTAGTTAATATTTATGTTTTTATTTGATAAGATTGCCAATTTCATTTTATTTTAAAAATCAAAGAGGCTGGCTATTTTATTATTATAATATAATAAATATGTATATCCGTATAGTAAATATATTCTGTTGTAATTGTATACCACATTTTTATATACTACATACTATGTTATATTACATAACTTTCAAAATACTAACATACTTTAAGAATATTTATATCAATGGTTAGTATAACATAGCTGTTGTAGGCGTGACCAAGATAAAAACTAAAACCTAATACATATTTTAAGTATAATTTCTTTATTTTATAAACACTATAAGTATAAAAAAAAATTATATTTGAAAAGAATATTGATTTTTATGTTGAAATTACATTTTCTGCCATCATTGTGATGAATTATATACATATTTCATTTTTACCTTTCTATTCAATATTTTATTTCAAGCAAAATGTTACTGCCAGATAATCATAATATCCGGCCATAACCGGATATCCGGCCTACTAGCCGGATCGGTCATATAGATACTGCCTGCCAGATATCCGTTGCATCTCTACTGACAGGCACAGGTCGAGTCAGCCCTGCCAGTAGAAAAGACATGTAATTTCTATTATGAATGTATTATTACGGTTTGATTTAGACTATTTGTGTTCCTTTTTATTTACGAATTGACATTTATTATATTTCACTGGCACTAAATTTAAAATATATTTTCCCGAAATAAATTATAATAAAAAAAAAATATCCAACAATTTTTTTGTTTTGCGGACCATTTGGCGCCTTTTTGTGAGTAGCGCCCGGGGCATGATACCTTCCCCCCTTGCTCCCCCCTCGCTACGCCACTGCGCCTGTTTGACGACAGTTACAAAATAAAATAATTTAATTGTTTTGATTGTAACACTTTTATTGTTTTGATTGAAATTGATTGCAACACTGATAAAATCTTCTTTGCACTGTGATAACAGAATGGCAATTGTTAAATTCCAACATGCACAGGACTCACCATTTTCACTAATGAACTTGCTCACACGCAGGATTCACTTACGTAAGGAAATGTTGAAGATCTATCTACATTTTGTGTTAATCTTATCTGTGAATTCTTTTTCTTTAAAAAGNTATTCTATTCAATGTTTTCACAATTCATTCAACCATAATAACCAATTAATAGGAAGAAAAAAAATTATTAGTGCACACATTCTAATTATATTTAGGAGATTTCCCCATATTATGAATTTCACTTACAGGATTCACTTACGTAAGGAAATGTTGAGGATCTATCTACATTTTGTGTTAATCTTATCTGTGAATTCTTTTTCTTTAAAAAGTTATATCCGTTTGTAATTGCTCTATTCATTTTGAATTACCCCTGCATATCTGTGTTGTGTTTCATTAAATAATTCCTTTGCTTTTATCTTCATTCACATGGTGTAGCATTTTAAAAGTGCTTATTTTTGATTTGGCTATGCATCCTGATGTTGAAATTCATAATATCCCCATATTATCTCTAATATATTATCCCATATAATCCCATATTATCTCCATAAATCTCCTAAATATAATTAGAATGTGTGCATAATAATTTTTTTTCTTCCTATTAATTGGTTATTATGGTTGAATGAATTGTGAAAACATTGAATAGAATAGTGTGAAAACGCTTTTTACATAATTTGTGGGGAAAAAAGACGTGATAAAAAAATATTTCAGTTTGGAAAATGCTTTTTTAAAACACCCAATGAAAAAAGCAGCTGTAAGGGCTTTTAAAAAACGAAAATCAAAAATAAGCCCATTCAAGTACTTTTTAAAAACACTATGCATCCTCATAAACTATTTGACACTAATCTATATACATAAAAATGAATGTCTGTCTGTGTGTTCTTTATAGACTCCCAAACCATTCAACTTAAAGTGATGAAATTTTGCATGCAAATAGTTTGAAGCACGAAGAAGGTTACTGTCGACGTTAGAATATCCTGTTTGGTTAAGCCAGTAATCCACTGGGCCACAGCACTTTTGTGTGCCACCAAATTTTAGAAAATAAATAGTAAAAATTATAATTACTAAATAATTACTTTTTACTAAATGTTAAGTATTGATGTAATCATTTATATAATAATAAATTAGTACACAATTCCATGTCAACACATTATTGTTATTTTAAATTGTTTGTAATTTATTATTAAGCGATTGCATGTGTGTAAAATATACTTGCGCGGAAATTCAGCTTTTTTGCCTTTTGGCCAATCACATCCCTGGTTTTTTGAAAGCACTTAAAAGGGCTTTTTCCATGGGGTGTTTTTAAAAAGTGCTTTATTTTCCCTCTTCTAATATGAGATTTTTTACTTTATCATGTAAATTTTCGTTGCATTGTATGCAAAAGCATAGTTTTCACATTGTTCCATTCAACTTTTTTGACATTGTTCCATTAATCGTTTTCACAATTCATTCTACCACAATCCATTTCAGCATAGCGTCTGTCCGTTACATATGAAAGTGTTAATCGTATTATATGCTTGATGAAATACTTGCAACTCTGCATGCACATCTACTGAGCTGGCTTCTCTGAGATTCTTATCTTTTTATGGTGGCTAATATAATCAATAAAAGAGTTCTTTGTCAGAAGCTAGTGCTTTTATCATGTAAAGTTTGCATTTTGTTAATGTATAAAGTGCTTAAAAATATATTTTTTGAGTGCTTAAAAAGTACTTAAAAGGTGCTTGTTTTTTGTTGAGCTATTTTAATATTCCTTGTCTTTTCAGGTCTGTTGCATGAAGGTGATGAGATTTTGGAAGTGAATGGTGTCGAAATGAGGGGAAAATCAGTGAATGATGTTTGCGATATTTTAGTAAGTTCCCTTTTTTTCAATGTTTACTCTTAATATTCAGAACAAATAGAAGTTAAGACCTTCTGGGATGAAGGGTTTTCTAGAAGACAAACAGGATTCTAATGGAAAAGATCATAATTTTTTATCATCGCTATATTTGATGGGAACATTTTTTTACAGGATTACTTTATAATAAAAGAATATCACTTTCAGTTTCAAACTGTAAATTTGCGATAAAAGTAAAGTATCAAATCGTAATAATATTAAAAATGATAGAGGATGATAACTACTAGTAAATATCTATAAATGATTAAAAAATAAATAAATCATCAGTATTTGCTAATTGAGGAACCTTATGAATTTTCTGGCCATAGGAATCGATTAATACCTAATACAAAAAACATATTGGTTTGAAAATTGTAAATCTTGTTAAACATAATTGTATCTTTATTATATAAAAAAAAAAATTAAAAATATTTATTGCAATAATGTTTTTTTTTTTTTATTATTATTATTTTTTTTAGAAATTTAAGTTTTTGGAAAAGTCTTTAATTTTTGGTCTGTTAAAAAAGTGGGAACATTTTTAACAGACATTTAAAAACAAAGGAATGTATGCAAAATATAGTTTGTCTATGTTAAAAACTCCCCCGTCACAAATTCTGAGGACGAGTGCTGCTATAGAAAAAAGAACAACATATTTCAGGGAGGGTAGCTTCTCTTCACTCTAGGGCTAACACAATAGACAGCTACTTGAGCTTGAAAATTTTATTTTGTTGATATTATCTAATAACCGTGATAGCCTTGTTGGTACTGCTCTGTTTATTCTATCTTTAATGTTTATTTTAACAGTTTTTAGTTGTTTAATCATAAAAGAGGAATGTCTGAACTGCTTTATTTATTTTATCTTTAACGTTTATTTTAATAATAGAAAAATCGTGAAATCCGTAGCAGTAACTACCAAAAAAAAAAAATTTGGATCGATGACGAAATTGAGCAAATCGGGCCCTTCAAAAAAGGGTTACCAAATGTGTGTTTTTATTTCAAGATTCAGGTGTTGTAGTAAATAATATCGTATCGAAAATTTCTACAGAAAAGAAAACTAAATTTTTTACTTCATTATTCTTTATTTTTCATTATTCTCAAGTGGAAATAGAAAAATCACAAGCATTTTTTTTCCACTCCATTGCGCGATAAACGCATCTTTTGAATATAATTCTGAGAAGAAGAAAAATAAATCTTTTGAAAATTTCTGCAGGAAAAAAAAAAACATTTCACTTCGTAGAAGAAAAATCCTTCTGCAAGAACTTCTGCGACAATGTCGTTAAGCTTCCGCCTAGGGATGTACGAGCCTCACTTATGAACAGAATAGATGTTGATGAAATGTAAACTGAATTTAGTGTCTTTGACAGGGTTGCCACTCCACGGGGAAACCTGGAAATTGAAAAAAATGACTTTAAATAACAAGGAATTTTGTCTTTTAAAAGTGGTGACCAATTTAAGCACTATCTATGGAATATTTAAGGATTATATTTCAGCTGTATAGAACTATTTGATTTACTAAGCATGTTAAGCTGTGTCCAGTAATTAAAACTAATATAGCTCACACAAGAGCGCAGTAATAGTGCGTTTCTTATTAATATAGTGTGCATAATATGAATCTTTTTCTTTCCAGTCTTAACTTGGAGCAAATTATAAAGGTTGGAGGTTTTAATTGCATTTTATACATTTCAGGCTACTATGAATGGTACTTTGACATTTCTTATTATTCCTACTCAGCAAGAAATGAAGTCTTTACAGGATGTTGTGGTAAGATTTATTTTTTATCATTCTCACACCATCTTTATTATTCGTGCACTTGTGGAAAATGTAATGAGAACAAAGTTTCTTTTGTATCATCAACATAATTTTAGTGTTCTGTATTTATATTGGGTATTTGGACAAAATCTCTGAATATCGTAGGACAAAATATTTTTTGAACTGACAAAATATTGTGTGACATGGTTCAGACAAATGAGGCACCCTCTCCCTCCCTTCTTAAAGGATTGGTTTTTTTCAGCTTTTTGGCTGAATTTTAAGAATGAAATTTTTTTAAAAAAAATCCACTTTTTCAAAGGAAATATTTTTTTTTTACAAACTTCTGAATAAAAATTAAGCATTTTTGTACCTATGTAAACGTGATTCAAAATTGCATTTGTTGGATCTAAAAATCGTACCACGGTCGAAAATTCAAACATTATTAATTTAAAGATGTGTGCACTAAT